CCAATAATAAACAATAAATTTAGGCAAAGAGTCTCACGGAAAGGGCTAAGTGTGTAGCCTTTAGGGTTTAGGGTTTAGGGTTTGGAGTGGTGAGGTGTGATTGGGAAAAAATGATAAATAAAAATTAATAGAAAACAAAAGGATAAAAGCTGCGAAAATAAACAAAAGATAACAAAGTGGTGAAGAGCAAGAATGAAGAAACCAAAGAGAGATCGAAGAACGCCCGCCTTGGATGAAATACGGGACTTTTTTCCCTTTTTTTCCATTTAAATTCAATCAAAAGGATTTCAAATTAGTTTTAAATTCAATTTAAATGAAATAAATCCAAAAATTAAGGAAAAATGACGAAAGGACTTCAGGGTGGCGCGCAAAGCCGTGGGGTGTATAGGGAGCTCGGGTGTATGTACAGCTCCGGATTTCGCGCAAAGACCAAAAGCGATCAAAATGGAGGCCGGAGAGAATCAAAAGAATTAAACTGAATTGTTTTATTGTTATTATTATTATATGTTCATTTAATTTAATTTATTTCTTCTTTTTCAATAACAGAAAAGCAAAAAGGTGCGGATCCAGGGCCTATGGCGCAATGGTAGCGCGTCTGACTCCAGATCAGAAGGCTGGGCGTTCGAGTCGCTCTGGGCTCAACCTTTTATTCAATTCACTTCAAGTTAATTTAAATCATTTACTTTCATTTAATTAATTTAATTTAATTTAGTTTATCCTAATTTACTTTCTTTTTTAAACTCAAAAATAAGGCGAAAGGACATTTGTTTACGTTTTCCGTTTGCTTCCGCAGACTTCCCCTCACGAAGAAATCCTGCTTATAGTTAATATATTAATATATACATATTTGTGTATATTATGTATATATATTTATTTATATATATATATATATATATATATATTTATTATATATATTATTTATATACTCATTTACATATGTGTAATATACATATTCATTTATAATATAATATACATATATTTATATATATAATATATATATGTATTTATATATATATAATATATATATTTATTTATACTATTAATACAAAAACACATTTTAAAATAAATATATATGTATATATAAATATATATACATTTGTATATATATATATAAACATATATGGATATATGTCAATTATACTAGTGCATTAAATAAGCAAACTTTATAAAGATGCATATCTGCGAGCAAATGCATGCAGCGTTGAAGCCCTAGGCCTCTTCCTGCTGCTGCAGCAGCAGCAGCAGCTGCTGCTGCTGCTGCAGCAAGGAGCTGGCCGAGGAGCGGCTGCAGCTGCTGTCAAGGCCTTGCTGCACTAGCACACCCGCTGCATCTTCTGCTGCTGCTGCTACTGCTGCAATTTCAGCAGCTGCTGCTGCTGTAGTTTCAGCAGCTGCTACTGCTGCCGTCGCTGCAGCTTGAGCTGCTGGTGCTGCTGCTGCTCCAGCTGCTGCTGCTGCTGCTGGGGCAAGGAGCTCATCGTATTTATTTTCCTCTACCTCTCTAAATAAATTAAAAGCAGATTAAAGTATTTTTATAAAAATGCAAATCTGCAGCGACGGACTAGAAAGAAAATAAAAGGAAATGAATTTAAAAAGAAACATTTAAGAAATAAAAAGCCAGAGAACACAAAAGCAGGCTATTGGGTCTAACAGCAGCAGCAGCAGCAGCAATTGCAGCAGCAACAGAAGCAGCAGCAATTGCAGCAGCAGAAGCAACAGCAGCAACAACAGCAGCAGCAGCAGCAATTGCAGCAGCAAAACGAGACGTCTAAACTGCAAGCAAAAACGAGCACACAGCAAACAAATAGCAGGAATTAAAAGCCAAAAAACGAAAAGCAAATAAATATGAAACAAATAGACAATTAATAAACCAATAATTAGTTGTTTGATGATAAATAAATAAATAAATAAATAAACTTGCAGCAGCTGCTGCGCCATAGCCCGTTAGCCACAGCGTAAAAACGAATAAAACAGCAGCAGCAGCAACAGCAGCAGCAGCAGCAGCAGCCGCTGCAGCAGCTGCTGTTTTGCTGCGTTCGAAACGCATGCGAGGAAAGGCCTTTGGCCCTTCCTAAAGAACTTAAAAAAGAGAAAAAAAAAGAAAAGAAAAGAAAAGAAAAGAAAAGAAAAGAAAAGAAAAGAAAAGAAAAGAAAAGAAAAGAAAAGAAAAGAAAAAGAAAAGAAATGAAAGAAATGAAAACTCGCTGCGAAAGGCGCGGAGCTCAGCGTACACCCCAGGAAGCCCGGGTGTACGTACACCTCAGACTGGGGGCTGCTCTCAGCAACTAAGAAATGAATCTTTATGAATTAAATAAATCATTTATGAAGTAAACAAACCTTTTAAACAATAAATGAATCTTTTAAACAATAAACGCATCTTTCCACTTCCTCAAATTCCACAACTATTCAACTCACTGCAGCAGCAGCAAATAACTAATTCAAAACCAACAAAAACAAATAACTAACATAACACAAACAAACCCCTGGGGGCCCCCGGGGG